CTAAATTGTTTTTTTATTTTTATTTTGCATGAAGTTTTAGTCAAAGAATCTGAAGCAAACACTCCTAGGTTTTAGTTTAATCTCAATTTCTTAATTTTTAGTAATATTTTCAGAGACGTTAATGTTTTATTATATAGTGATTTTACCAGTGGACAAATCCTACGTGCTGATCATACCAAGTAATATACCATATTTTCCGCTGTACACGTTGCACCGCCCTATATATGTTTGATAAAGTGGAAAAATTCATAAATATGCTGCTTCGCCATATAAGTCGCATCTATTATGCGTCTCCGCTGACAACTTGGAAACGTGGGCCGGTGTTGTGCCACAAATCGATTGACTGCAAAATGGCGGCCGCGGGAGCGAGCATAGGAGGACTTTTAACAAGAATTCAACAAGATTAACACTTTAAAACAATTATTTGTTTGCTTGAAATAATATCAAAGGTGTGTCTCAGTCTAACTTTTCCTTAATAAATGCACTTTGACGGTCAAATCAGCTGTATTTTCAAAAGAATTTGCTGCCTCGGTGCTCTGGGAGCGCACACTGAGGGAGAAAATCAGGAAGAAGGAATGCTGCACATTTCTTCAAAATTTAACAAGATAAGCACCTAAAACAATTATTTGTTTACGCGACAGGTGTGACTCAGTTGAACTTTTACTTAATAAATGCACTTCAGTGGTCAAATCAGCTGCATTACACTGGGGCGGCGCAGCGAAATGAAGCTGATTTGACGGTTACACCAGGCGAGCTGGACAAAGGTGGCCTGTATGGCAAGCCAATTGTGTCATTAATAGCCACTTTTACCTATTAGATGACACAACGGCATGCCATACACCTCAAATGCCATCTAGCAGCTGAAAATGGTAGTGTTCAATATTTTCAGTTAGATTGAATGAAAACGCTCATATCTCAGCTAAAATTTGTTTTTAAATATGGGGGGAAAATCCATAAATATGTTGCTTCAGCGTATAAGTTACAGGGCATGCAAATTATGCAAAAAAAAAAAAAAAGTGACTTATAGGCCAAAAAATAGGGTAAGTGATTTGTTTTTCTTATTTCTCTTAGCTTCTGGGAAAGTTGTTTGTAAAAAAATAAAATAAATAAAATTGTTTTTTCTTTTCTCAGTGTATCATACCGTATTGTACGGTAGATTAAAGCACTCTTCAGTCAGGAGTCTTCACACTGTTCTACTGTAAAGTCCAGCTGTTGCTTTTCATTCCAAGGACACAAAGGATCAAGCGATAATTGTGCCATCTTGTCCAGTTTTGGCTTGTTGAATACTTAAAGAATGGAGCCCCACAGCGTAGCTGCAGGCCTTTACGTCTGTCTGCTTCAACCATTAGGACACATTTGTCACACGAGGGCCATTGAACGGTGCTGTAAAACCAGCTTTTTGACGTAGCCACCAGCACAAAGGCTGCTCTCCTCTGTGGCGGCCCTGTTTTCAAGTGCAGATGGTCAAGACAGCTGGGACAATTTAGTGATCTGAGGCTTTTAAATTACCCCCCCAGGGAGGATAAAATAAAACAGCTTGAGTACCTGCTGCATATTCTACATGTACACTGGGTTTAAAAGTAGGGTTCTGTCTGCAGCACAGACACCATTTGCCCTCCCTTTAAAGAATAAAGTCTTGACGCATGCTCAGTAATCTAACACGACTGAGTCAGGTCCTCTGGACAGGTTCTTCTGTGTTGAAATGTTTTAGACTAGAAAGTCTTTTGGAGAAAAGGTGAGACGTTTCAGCAAAGGACATGTCCAGAGGACCAGACTCACCCTAAAAAAGATGTTCAAAAAAGAATCACAAAAGGCCTGGAGGGTTTTATTCTTTTTTGGATGCTGTTATAATTAGTCATGGATGTATTCGCTGTCTAGAAATAGTTGCGTGAAAACATCTGCATCATCTTGTGGTTTCCGACCGTTTCGAATTTGCTGGTGGACCCAATCAGAGCGGCGCACGGGCCTTTGACTGGCTCTGATAAGCAGCGGTCTCACCAGCTGTTTAATGAACACAGGGACCTCTTTCTCTGGAAATGAGTTTTCCCTTGAATGCTGCCGAGGCCTTATCCAGGTCTATTTAAATGAGGTAACATGGGGAAGGTAAGCAACCACCACATGAGCATTGTTTTCACAGTTCAAAGTGAGGAGAGAGTACTTTGCACTTCAAAGACACTCATCTGGGAGGCAGTACAGTGGGGGTGGGGTGGCGTTGAAGAGGGGGGGTATAGCGGGGACAGGAAATAAGAAGCAGGGTAATTAACAACTTCTGCTCCGTAATAAAGCACAGACATGGTACACTTCTGCCTTCAACGTGCACTCCAGCCTTCTCTTCTGCTGTTTTCTTACATCTGGAATTAGACTGTTTAACACACACACACACACACACACACACCAACAGGAAGTAAAACATACATCGTGCAACATTCAATGCAACTGCACTCCTAACCTGGTGAAATACACCTACTTACTAAAAATCATTTGTGATTTGGCATTTAGTGCTAAGACGTTTTTATCAGGAGGATTTCTCAATGTTTTCAAATGTGCTTGAATAAGCAGCTTGCATTTATGATCGCTTTACTTGGAAAAACAAATGAATATATAGAGACACACAAAAAATCCTAGAGTTTTATTGTAAGGTCCTGAAAATAAGTTTACAAAGCAGCTAAAAATTGCATTTTACATATTCAGCATAAACCAAATGGGACTGTAATGTCTTATTAACCTAAATACCAGTACATTTATTTAAAAGCTGTTAATGTAAGCACACCATTAAGGAAAGAAACTTCACATTTATGTTCAAATTCTGCACCTTTAGGTGGCTTCTCCTCAGCTGGGGTGGGGAGGGAGGTGTTTGTTTAGGGATCCCAGCCTGGTCAAACAGAGGAGCAGATAAAGTGAGAAAGCAAGAATTTACATGAGAAGCAGGTTCCCGGCCTGGATTTAAACTCTTAACATTGTGATGGTGAGCGGAGTTACAGAATGAGATTAAGCCCCGATCTGCATTTAATGGAGCGCATCTGAGGCGGCCTTTACGTGAACCCTGAAATGTGAGAATGTCACACAGGGCAGCTTTTTCTTGACGTGTCGCCTACTGGTGAGAACTCGGGAGGCTTTGATTGAGTTTTATCAATTAGCTTTGTGAGGGGGGAAAATACTGCGACTTTCCTCAGAGTGTGTGAGCTGAAGTGTGTGACTGCAGGAGACACAGGAACAGTATCTGATTTAACTGAATATAATGAATTACCCGCATGTCTTTAATTAACTCATTCATTTATGATAATGTTGCAATTATCATATTTTGTTTTTGTTGTTTCTGCCTCATTTCATAATTAAAATGCATTTTTTTTTCAAGTTTTGAACTAAAATGATTTGTTCTGTGAAGTGACAGAGTTCTAGCTGTTATAAAAGACTCAGATGAGCTGAAGATGAGAGCTTTCACCACAGCAAAGTTTAGCTCAGTAACTTTTAAAATGACTGAGTTATGGCCATTCCCATGTTGACAAATGTTGATTAACTTTATCAGCCATCGTGTGAATGATGTTCAGCTACTACCACGCTAAAGTTTAGCTCAATATCTATCAAACTGGTGGAGTTATAACATTTTTTGTGTGTCTGATCAAAAGGCTTAACTGTGGAATCCATCTCGCTTCTTATATCAGCTCCCACGCAAATATTAGTGGGGCGACTATTTGCATCTTGGATGGAATAACTGTAAGTAATAATAAACAATAAATAAAACTGATTCAGCAAAAAACATTTTAAATTCCACTTAAAGTTGTTCAACTAACAGATAAACACAAAACAACGAACAACAAAGTAAGCTTACATTGTTTATTAGAGGATCAATTGTACCTACAGACAATAATTTCTTTCTGAGTGCTTGATTAAAATCTGGTTCATTAAATATTTTGCTAACAGACAGACATACAATGTACAGCAATGAAAAGGAAAATATGGTCACGTGGCTGATGAATATTAGTGTTTTCGTATATTAGTTGCCATCCATTCACCAGTAGCTGACATAAACAAAAACAACACATTTTAAAGTTACGTCGGGTCCAATGGACGGTTTCTTTTTGATGTTCATCCAGAAGACTTCATCAGTCCGAGGGGTTGCCACCATCAAGCTGAGCACCATCAGACTGCTTGATCCACTATGAGAAGGTGCTATTTATCAGACTGAGTTTGTTGTGGCTCGTCAAACTGAAGAAGTCCTTTGGATGAAAGACGAAACGTTTCAACAAAAAGAAACCTTCCAGAGGAGCTGAATTAACTTTTTTTGGATTTTTCTATTATTGAGCATGAATCAGGGTCTTTTTTTATGCATCTTCATTTGAATCCCCACAAAGGAACTGGATCAGCAAATCCTCCCAGAGTTAAGGATATTTTCACTTATGTGGCTTAAATAAAACATCTTAGATCTTTTACAGACTAAGCACTTTGTTGGGGAGCTAAATGTATTCCTCTGTGGGGTTGGGGGGAAAAAATGCTGAAATACAAGATGTAACGGTTTAAAATGTTATTTTTAATCACTTGTGATAATAGTTTTGTGGGTTTATTTTGAGACAAAGGGATGGAGATGCTCAGGGAAGTTAAAGCCTGCTGTGTGGTGCCTTTTCCAGAACAATCGGAGGAGGAGGAGTCAGTTCTCGGGGTCAGCATTTGGTTGAAATTGAGTGAAATTATGAGTAGCCCACCCCCTCACCTAACAAGCCCCCCCTCCCCTGCACTGCCACCTCCTGCATCACACCGGAGACCCCGTGGAGAGGAGCGTGTTTGTCCATAAAGAGGAGCTGCAGCTGCGGCGCCTCTCAGATGCTCGCGCGGATTAACGGCGCGCCTCCAACTTCACACGAACTTTGCTTCTGTTGTTTCTGCTCCGACTCGAGGTGTTTTTTTGTTTGTTTTTTGCCTGAGTCGGTGTAGGAGTCCTCCCAAGTTCCGAAAGTGAGCATCTTTTCCTGTTATTTTATCTTTTCTTCGTCCCAGCTGTAGTGGCAGTTTTGCGCTGCAGGTGCGTAAAAGCGGAGCGCGAGGACAGATGGCTGCGCTGACGATACAAAGGACTGACAACTTTTTACACACTTTTTTACAGGTTTGTTCTTGTGTTTCTTATTCTTTCTCCACCTCATGTTTTCTGATCAGTTATGTCTTGCTTTTTAGCAACTTTTTTTTCACAATTTCTGAAAGAGTTTTTTTTATTTTTTTTAATAGCGCATTCATAAAAGTTATTATAAAGGCTATTTTCAAAAATGTTAATGGTGAAAAAGAGTCAAAGTGTTGGATTTTATAGGTTAAAATTGTGATGAAGCCAACACTGTAATAATGCGTGTTGTGGGGATAAGACAATTGATTCATGTTGATTTTTTTGGTTTCAGTTTAAAAAGCTGGTTTTGTTCATTTTTTGATATTTTAAAGCAACAAAATACCACTAATAAAACCCTAACTTTAATTTAAAAAAAGAAATTGTAATTTTTTGCTGAATAGAAATTGACCTACTGTGATTTCCATACTGGACTTTCAGCTGTTTTGGTTATTTTGGGTGAATTACAAATCTTGTAAATCTATCTTTGATGAGAAAAAAAAGTTTTAAATGTTCCTGTACATTTAAACAGTCAGGTTTAATGTTACTCAGATTCTGAGCGGTCATTTGTTGAAGAAGTTCACAGACTTCAATTTATTCCAGTGGTTGTGGATGTATTCTGATCCGTGTTTGTGTACCATCAGGACCGGACGCCCAGCTCCTCTCCAGAGGGAGCACCTAACGCCCTCTCCATTCTGGCCACCACCTGCAGCCAGGCCTGGCAGGTGGGGGGCTCGATGGGCTCCGACGGCTCCCAGTTCCCGTATGAAGGTACAGTCAGCTCCACATCTGGGATGTTTCAGCTTTGGAGCAACGACATGTCGCCCAGCACAGCCCTCAGCACGCACCAGATGACCTTCACGGTGCCCAAGGTGCAGTTCCCTGGACACATGCAGTCTGGCCTGGGTCATCATCATCACCATCACCACCATCATCACCCCCATCATCATCACCACGAGCTGCCTCTTACCCCTCCAGCTGAACCGGCGTCCTCCTACTCCTTTGAACTGTCCCCTGTTAAAGTGTTGTCCTCCCAGCCGCAGGCCAACAGTCCTTATTATCCCCAACATAACGCCGTGGGACAGAACTTCCCCAGCTTCCTGCAGAACCCCTCAGCCAGGCACCACCTGTCGGGGGGCCACGTAGAGGATGGGCAGCAGTGGTGGAGCCTTCCACAAACCAATACCACTCCTGCCAGCCATCCCTTCTCCCTGAGCAGACAGCTGGTGTTGGGTCACCAGCCTCAGATCGCTGCTCTTCTGCAGGGAACCTCCAAGGGTCTGCTGGGCTCCACGCGCCGCTGCCGCCGCTGCAAATGCCCCAACTGCCAGGCCAACGGCGGGGGGCTGGAGTTTGGTAAAAAGAGACTGCACATCTGCCACATCCCGGAGTGCGGCAAAGTGTATAAGAAGACGTCTCACCTGAAGGCACATCTGCGCTGGCATGCTGGAGAGAGGCCCTTCATCTGTAACTGGCTGTTCTGCGGTAAGAGCTTCACCCGCTCCGATGAGCTTCAGCGGCACCTTCGCACCCACACCGGAGAGAAGCGCTTCGGTTGCCAGCAATGTGGCAAGAGATTCATGAGGAGCGACCACCTCTCCAAACATGTCAAAACTCACCAGACCAGGAAAGGCCGATCCGGGCAGCCTGGGCCGAGCCCAGACTCCATGCTCACCATTAAAAGAGAGTAAACTCAAAGGAGCAACATTTACCAGACTGGGATTCACACTCACCGCCATAGATTTGCACTACAGGGTATGCATTCAGCTCCCTGATCATTTTGTTTTCTTGTCAAAGCCCATAGTAGAACCATAAGAAAATATTTGGTGAGTAAAATAATTGTGTGCTGTTCGAAGCAACGCACCTTTAAATAAAACTTGAAGCCTTTTTCAGTAACGTTGTGAAGGTTTTGCTGCTTTCTGTGTATACTTTTCAAGATATTTTACCTGGAAAGAAAAACTGGTCGTCTGCCTTTCTCAGTGTAAAATTTATTTAAAAACTTGACTGACGTGAAAATCTATTTTTGTTAAACTTTATGATGTAGATATGTGACTTGTGCAAAAAACTTACGTTCACACCTTTAAATGTTGTCTGGACAATTACGTTGAAGATAAATGTTTGCCTTCAGCGCAGCTTGACAAAAACTGATTCACTTTGAAACAATTAAAAAAAAAAGAAAAGTGATTTGTCAGATTTAGGCTAAAAATCTATTTGATACACAGATTTTTTTTCCAGCTCCCACAATGCAAAGTGTTTATCCAACATTTAAATATTTAAAGTTGTTTGTGATTTATGTATAAATTGTTTGAACAATTCAATTTGGTTTTTGGCTGCATGTGAATTTTAATAAACATCGTCATGACAACAAGTTCCACTTATTTCTAACGTTTTCCTACGCCCTGACATCTGTTTGTGACATCAACTATCCCTCCAAAGGCAGTTTTACTAATGAAAGCCTTAAAAATCCAACATTTTATTTAAACGATTATAGCTCTCCAAATACAAACGCTGCTCATTGTGACGGTGGAGGAAGAAGCTCCTAAAGAAGAAACCAACATGGTGGGCTGTTCAAAGATGTTCACGCCTCAAAGTAAATAACTGGCCCCATTGACGGGGCTGTTTGTCTCGCCTGCTGCAATCAAGTTCACAGTCGTGTGGCTTTTAATGAGTGTTTTCTTTTTCTCCGTGCAGAAGGACTGAGTCAACAGATGCAAAAGAGGGTGATGGAGAAGAATTCCCTGTGAATGGGACCCCTGTTGCCGAGACCCCCTCAGTGGTGACAGGAACTCCCTTTGATTTTGCACCCTTGTGAAAGTTAATACCCCTCCCGCCCCAAACCCTTCATAAGTCACAGCCGTGTTACGACCAGCCCGGGTTTACAGCCCAGAATGAGGCTTTATTCTGAGGGGCAGCCAACCAGATGTCTGCTCATCCAGGAGTTTCTCCTCTTTGTTATTAATCCTGTTTGGACCTGCTCCTGTGGGAAGTCTTCATCTTTGTCCCACGGAGGAGCCTAAAAACAAAGTTGATTGTTCACATGTATTTTAGACTAAAAGTGTGATCTAAATGAGTTCACCAAAGCTACAAGAGAAAGTCCACTGAAGGAAATGTATACTTTAATCTTTGCAAATGCATATGAAAACATTTAGTGGTTGATATCCTGACGCATGCTCAATAATCCAGGTAGAAAAATCTAAAAAAGTTAAGTCTGGTCCTCTGGACATTCACTTTTTTAGATTAGTGGTTGATACACTTGTTAAAACTTTTATTTTCATTATCAGAAGAGGCCATAAACAAACACTGCACCGAGTTTCAAAAAGACACTTTTTATTTAATATAATACAGCTTGGATCAGTCAATTGTGGATCACACCAACCGTCTCCTGCTTTTGGTTCTCTGTAGATGTATTCCTGTGCGTTTCATGCAGAACTGCTTGATGAGTGAAAATTCAACTTAAATCACTCTGGAGTCTGTGACAGGAATAAAATGTTTTAAAGTTTTATCTAAAAAGAAATGTTTGGTTTGATTTGTTTTACTTTTGTTTAATTCTTTGGTCAAGTTACTGAGCAATTTAAATGTGAGCTCTGAAACGTGAGGCTTGTGAGTTTTTTCTTTTTGGTGCCGATGTGTTTGAGCTGGAGGTGAAAGTCTTTTGGCGACCTCTAGTGGCCACAAACTGGAACTGATCAGAAAAAGCTCCACCTCATCTAAACTGCTCCCATCACTCATCACTGGCTCTGAAACTCAAAATAAATGCAGATATGTTTGACTGGTTTATATGCGAAATGGCAGGTTGAATTATTTCATAAGAGCACAAAACGTTCGAGGGGTGTGCGCTGGTTGGTTTTGGCACCGATCAAGTAGAGGGCACATGCAGATGAAACTACCAACTGGAACTGAAATATTTATTTGCATACCTGGGTCCTTCTTCATCTGATAAAGCATGATTTGTTTTATATATGCACTGTACAGTATGTTGGAAGAAAACAAACAAATCTAATAGATTATAGCAGAGCCTTATATGGCAGCATTAAAACCATTCATAATCAATCAAATGTGATCATGTTACGGTCCCGAAGATGAAAAGCAACCAGCTTCTGCCTGTAAATAAGGATCTGTGTAGCTCGCAACACTTTGGGTCAGCGCAGCAGGCCCTTTGGATGCACTCGCAGCTCCTGAGGAGTTGCCTGAAGAGAAAAAAGCAATGTGAGGTGACGTCATACAGAGAACCTCCAGGGGCCTCCCTCATGCCTTCTTGTCCAGATGAAAGAGAGGTCAAACAGAATATCAGAGCACGCAGGGGGCGCTCAGCGCTGTGGCAACAAAGACGGTTCTCCACTTTTACATGAAATGTGAGTGAATGAAGTTCTTCTGATGCTCACAGCAAACGTTCTGCCTTTTCCATTCTTGTCGACGTAAAGGGCAGCCTTGGCTTGGATGGGACTGATTTTGTCTTGATAAAGGGGCTTTAGGATGAAATTTCAACAAAGAAATTTACTACAGGGTACAAAAAGAGCTGGCGCCACACGTCTTGCCCGCTCCCACGCACACGATTCCACGTATAATTTCATTCACTCAGGCACACGCGTAATCCAGTGACTGCCCCAATTAGGAATGAAATCATGACACAAACTCCTCTGTTCTTTTCAAAAGAGAGAGTACAAACTCTCAGAAAAGGTAAAAAGCAAAAGTTGTCGTAACACAAAGTGTTTTCTAACTCTGAGCCCAGGAACAGGTGCTGCTCATGTTGGCTGAAGGTGATCAAGGCCACTTCACCTCCCTTTAAAAGCTCTCTGACGAAGGAGTCCAGCAGGTTTTATATCTTCAGTCCACAGCTCCTCCATCCATCAACTGCCTTCATAATCCTGCAGAGATCACGACTGAACCACTGGATCCAGTCTGGCAAACACAAACAGTGGACAAGAAGTCTTCACAGCTGTTGGCTGCTGTCCTCCAGGTCCAGGAAACATTTATAGGGTTCAAAGGTCATCTTCAGCCAGCTGGGCAAGGTTGCTGGGACGTCGTCCTGACAGGGGAACCTGGTTTCCAGAATCAGAAGCCGAACCTCTGCGGAACCCCTCTCCTGCCCTCTGCTGGGAAGACACACAACATTCATCAAGTCATAAAAGAAAAACATTTTCCCTTAGTGTGCTCTTATTGTGAAAATATGTTGATTTCCCTTTGATATGAACTTATTCGTTTTACTTCCTGTTTATGCATTTTAAGGTATCTGGATACCTGTTAAATTTAGAAATATGGATCATTCTACACGTTTATAAAACTTTTAATGGTCCCAGCACTAATTACTTGTCAGGTTGTTCCTACCCACATTTATCCCTAAAACATTTGGCAAAACCTCCATGTATCATACTGGTCCTCACCTCTGGAATAACTGGAAGAGCTGATAGGCTCTATTCTTACATTTACCTGAGTTTTTAACTTTTAATCGGGTTTTATTTTTATTTTTTTGTCTCTGTAAAGCGCTTTGCATTGTTGTGTTGCATGAGAAGTGCCGTATAAATAAAGTTTTGATTGACTGATTGATTTCACTGTTTAAACTGTCCATGTGAGAGTTTTAACTAAAAACATCCAATTCCTACGATCCGTGTACAACATGCATCTCCCTTTGGGAAGTTTGATAGGCATCTCTCTCTGACTTTCCTGTCTGGAAAGACTATTTCCTGTTTGTTGTGTTTGAATGCACAGACAGAGGTGGAGAACATCTGCCGTTCTGTTTACAGAGTCCTTCTGAGGCCAAGGGTCCGGTGATGACAAAGAAACATGTTGATGATGATAAAGTCAAATTACAGGACTGCTGCTGATTTGTATTTATTCAAAATGTTGTGTTTTTTCAAGTGATTATGTAACTTTATCCACACCCTTCATTTAGATATTTTATCAATTCCTTTTATATCCACTAGAGGCCGATATAACACATCTTATTACTCAAGAAGTATAAATGAATCAAATTTACTAAAAAGTTTTACATCTGTTACAGAGCAAAGATCTGCAAATTAGAATAATTTATCAGCTTTTTTTTTGAGGATTTGTATAATGTTTCAAATTGCTTATTACTTGTAGCCTAGTTTGTGATTTGACACAACTTATGAGCTCAGTGTTCAGCTTTGTGCAAAGTTTAAACGACAAGGAGTGTTACATCTACACTTCCCTGTAGGTATTAATCAACTGGAATGACCAAAAAGAAGTAAATAAATATATTTCAGTCACAAATGGCTGATACCCTCATCCAATACGGTGTTTTGTGCCAAGCTTAACGACTGGACTGTCAACCTTTTAGGCTTCTTGCACAAACACACATTCACGTGCACTCATATTGTGCACTCTTTGTGTGTACACTGGATTCTACTACAGAGTTGTAGTACTGAGAGGAGCAAGAATATGCAGAGATGGAAGACAAAGATCAGCAGCAGCCTGTTTCTGCTCCTTCAACTTCAAGCACATGCAGAACAAGTACGAGTCATCTGAACTTTTTTTTTTTTTTTATACAAACAAACAAATAAACAAACAATATGTTTTGAGAGAGAAAGGAGCTAAACAAGAGGTGACACTGAGAGAGCTTTTCCAAAAATGGTGACGACTCCAGGAGTCACGGGAACTAGAAACTAACGCCATGGATTTCTGCTAGTCTGGCAACATTTATTTCATTTAGAGAGGAATATGATTGTTACATTGCATAGATATGGCAGCTGTGAATAAGCTACATCACTGTATGAGCATGGAGGAAAGGTTGGAGTTGGTGGTTTGTTAGAATCCAAAACGTACCATTCTCTTGCATTTGTGAGTGCACTGCAGCTTTAATGCAGGTGGATACCTGTGTGGTTGGGTTGTACAGCCCGTTTGACACAGCTTGACAGTTTGGCTGCTCAGTGAAGCCCAGGTGGACGTGCGAGGGGGAGACAGTGTGCGAGTCAGCAGGGCATGGCTGGACCACCGCGGCCTGCAGGAGCAGGTGAGAACAAGTGAGCATCTCAGAACCAGAATGCATGCACAAAACACAGGTTGCTGATTTTTTTTTTTCCCACATTCTTGCTCAACAGCCACAAGAGCTTGAAAAAGCAAAAGGAAATAACATAAATAAATAAAATAAAGCAGTAACAGCAAAATCCTGTGCTCGAGTGGGCAGGACAGTGTGTTGCATACAGCTGAAGACACCTACATCCCTCAGAGAGAACATCTCGCTGGGTCCTTGGTTCTGGTTTTGGCTGGGCAGGTAGAGTGCAGGCAGGGAGGTGTTGTGAGAGTGGAGGGAGGGCAGCTTGTGACGGTCTATGGAGGCTGATGAGTGGGGCCGCAGGGCGCTCGCAGCAGACAGAGGGGGCCTCATGATGCGGCCCAGGCTGTTGGACTTGCTCTCTCGCCGCTGATACTCAATAGGTGACTGTAAGGCTGAAAAATATAAGAAGGGGAAAGTTGTTTTAAATTCCTACACTTAAATCTGAAAGTTTTACTGAGCACTATGTTTGTAGTTTTATTTATTTTGTGCAAGTAAATAAGTACTTAGTAAATCTAGGTGTGCCAAAATGACTGGTTTAAAAAAGAGCAGCATTATAATGTCATGCTGTGGTTTCATTTATTATTTATAAGCATAAAGTTCAAAATCAACATGGATTAAAAAAATATCTCTGCACACTTGATGCATTTTAGTTTTTGTACTATTTTACAAAAGTTTTTTTTATTTTTATTATTATTACTTTAGTCCGTTTTAAATCACATATAATTACATATCACTTTTTTTCAGGAGGGAAGTTCTGTTTCCACTCAAAGTTCAACAGCAATAAGTTTAACATAAACCACATAATGTAGATTTTTTATTTAAAATTCTGAGGATTATGACATAGCTTCCTCAGCTGTAAAGATTTCCATATGAAGACAACACAACCAAAACAAGAAATAAAAAAACGAGAATTTCTGATACAACAGGAAACAAAACTTACAACAAAGTCAGTGATCGGTAAATAGGCTGACAGGATTTAAACAATTAAATAACAATAAAATTTTAAAAGTATCAGTAATCTCCCGAGCTTAGCTTTGCCGTACCATTAAGGAAGTTGCGTTGACTTTCCAGAATCTGAACTACATCGTTGACCCATGCCCTGCAGATCTCTGGAGACGAGGCCTGCAGCTGGAAGCGCACCACGCTCCCATCCGGGTTCCGTGAGGTCAGCACAAAGCGCGTATCGTCTCCGTCCACGCAGGGCTCCACCCCCAGGCAGCTCACCTGAAACACAGCACATCTGGCTGACACCTGGAGGAGTTTATCCTGCTGGGTTCCTCATTAAACTAAGCATGTGGGTCTCTAAAGCATCCCCGTGGAGGAGTTACGTAACGTGTTAATTCTGGTGTTAATTAGTTTGGTGTGAAAATGTTGTGTAACTCAAAACTTGGCGCCAAGTTGCATTCTCTCGTTTCTTGGTGTTTTATTTTTCTTGCACATCCCGCGTGGCTTCACGGAGGCTGGGAGACGCACCTTGATGCTGTTTTTAAAGATGTATCCAGGGAGCGAGAAGCCTTTCTTCCTGTCAATCGGTTCGCTGAAGATGACCAGCTGCTCAAACAGGAAGACTCGCCTCTCCTTGGCTCGAGACAGGAAGCCACTGTCCTGCTCCGTGACGGTGAAGGTGTCCTGTTGGAGCAGTTTGCCCTGGGCTGTGATCTTCCCCTGCGCACAAACACAACCAACACATGGAGGTGGCTGGAGTGCAGCTGTCTTGGACAGTCAGAGGGACTATGTGAAGATGGCGTACCTCAAAGCCTTGTAATCGGCCAACATTCATCATGTCGTTGCAACGTTTTGGCACAAAGCACATCACATCAACTGCTTTCTGTAAAAAAAAAAAGCATCATCAGTCAAACGTATAAATGTTTAAACCTTCAATTTATTCACTCGGACGCTCACCTCCAGCTCCTCTGTGTCCATCCCTGCTTTGGTGTAATATTTTAAAAAGTCCTGTTGAAACAAACATCGTGGTCACCAGAGCATTCCAGATTTATTGCCAAGAGTGTGCTGTGGACATCTGGTGGTGTATTTATGGGTGCCGAACCTCCTTATTCATTAGTGCTAAAGGGCAACGTTTTAAATCTGTGCAAAGTTTTATCCCAGAGACTTAATTTAATGTTCCCCTTCAAAAGACGTTTACATAATGTTGTTTAAATTCTCTCGTAGGGAAGGTCTCATTCTGAAATCTCCCTCTGTAAATGGAAAAGCAGCCCGAGCAGACGATGTCCTCGCTGTGCGTCTGGTTTAAACATCTGTTTACACAAACTGCTGTGTTTACAGCTCCATGCCAGCCACTCCCGGGTGCATGTGTGGTCAGAAGCGCAGCAGCATCCCGTGTTTGCACCTTGAGCAGAAGCTGGTACTTCATGATCCTCTGGACAGGTTTGATGAGCAGGTCGTTGAGCTGCAGCCGGTGGCCCAGCTGCTGCCGGAGCTCCTGACGGCACAGAGAGGACACGTCGGTCAGCGTAACAGCCACAATGCACAACACAGCATCTGATATATACGTAACCTCTAAGAGGATAAACGTGGACACAAAGAGACATGCTTTTTTTGTAAATGTCACCTTAAGAATGCAGAAAACTTCTGGTAAAACGAAAATTTCACAGTAAAACAGATATTCTAGTTATAAGAGTGAGAAATGAAACCGTCTCTCACCTCAAAGTAAGTCTCTATGTACTCTGAGACGATGTGTTCTGACTTGGGCTTGTTTTGACAGTACACGACATACATGTGGAGACGCCTCTCCTGCAGCACAAGACCAACAAACATCGCTTTACAAAATCTCTTCTTACAGCTTTTTTAAAACATTTTTGTAATGGTAAATGGACTGTACTTATATAGAGCTTTTCTATCTTATCAAGATACTCACAGCACTTTACAACACAATCTGTGCCCTCTTATCCATTCATACAGCACTCTACTAGATCTCTACAAAGAATAATCATGGCTTTATCACATTCATACACTGATGGGACACACATCAGAAGCAATGAGGGGTTCAGTGTCTTGCCCAGGGACACTTAGGCATGTGACTGTTGGTGGAATTGAACCCCCAACTCTTTCATTGGAGGACGACTGCTCTAACCACTCAGCCACAGCCGCCCCTCTAAACAATACTAACACACCAAATTTTAGCTCCACATCTGTAAAAATGACTGCTTTAGCCATTTTTGTGTTGCAATGGTTGATCTAGTGGCTGCATTCTTCAATAAATTTGCCTCCAAAACTCAATCAGTAGATCCAGTTACTTCTGAGAGTTTTAATAGAGCCTCTCCAGTGGTTTATGAGATATTTTGCTAACAGACAGACAGTCGAACACACACAGAAAATTGCAAGACTGCATTTTTTGGGGGCTGCAACAACAGTTCTAAAAATACTTTATTTATGTTTAATGCATTATTTAAATCTTGGTTGGTTGTGTAAAATATGATGTTGTTTTTGTGTTGTGTTTTCAGAAATGTTCTATCCTGTGTCTTGTATTTTCAAAAGCGTTCTTTTGTGTTTTAGAAACGTTGCGTTATTCTTGTGTTCTGAATGTTTTTATCGTGTTTGTTGTAAAACTCTTTTCCGTGATCTTGCGGTACTTGTTGAAATCAGATTTTTTTAAAAATATGTTCATTTGTGAAATGCTCTGCTGCCTAGGCGTGTAGTTACGATGAATAAAATTGTCATTTTATTCTCAGGGCATCGTTTTGTTGCAATTTGTTCGTCAGGTCCACCACAGACGCATTTATTAAAAATGAGCCTCACAGCGAAAAAAAAAAACCTTCTTTGATATACGTGGAAAAAACTGAAAGTGAGGGAAGGAATCAGCTACGAATGTGTGTGTGTGTGTGTGTGTGTGTGTGTGTGTGTGTGTTAGCTGTTGGGGATGAAAGGAAGCAGAACAACAATGATTTGTCTCAGCTCCTTTGAAGCTGACTCTGTCTGGTAGCACCTACTCTTTTGTAACTAATTGGCATGGGAGTGCAGATGTGGCGGTCCTGAGACAACTAATGGCTCTACATGAAAATGAGCAGCAGGTTTATGTATAATTTACCAGGTCACTCTCGGTGTAACCAGAGCCGTCACAGCGTGTCGATGTCACACTGCACCTAGCAACAGGCTGCAGGGCGACTCTGGACTTTAAACACTGCTGTTGCACGAGGGAGTGCGCTACATGTGTGTGACTACTGTAGAGTTGTGTACTCACACATGTTTACATGCTGCATGTGGGTAAACAAGCACACATGTTGCACACTGGTGACACAGAACTTGTTGAAAGTGGATTCTGTTTCTCATTAGAGCCAAATCTGTTTGTTTGCACTGTTTGTAGGCTAAAGTCAATTAGCTTTGGTGGCTAGCTTGAATATCGGTAGGATCCAAAAGTGAATCAGTTGTAGATGTACAATCTGTGATTACTTTCTGGATGTTTCAGTGCAAATGGCACAGACATATGAACACACACAAACACATTATTGCTCTGTCTTCACTTTCGACATCAATAATATGAATATATATATATATTTTTTGCTTTATTTATCTTTAAACAAGAAACTGTAGCCAAACTATTCAAATTAGCTACTGTGGTCTGCATGTGTCACCATTTAACAATAGATTTAAAACTATTTTTACTTTTTGTATGAGTTCTGTGTGGCCAAGTTCAAAAATAGTACATCTGGATCTTTTGTGTATTCTTCATACTGTATATGTGTGTGTGTGTGTGTATATGTGT